TCCAGCCCTCGGATCATTTTTGTAGCCCTCATTTTTCTGATGTCCTACCTAAACCTGCCTTGGCAAAACTTGAGGCTGTTTCCCCTCGTCCCAGGTGGGTGCGGGTCGGTCTCTGCTCCCCCCCCCTGTCAGGCAGTTGTAGGGAGCGATAAGGGCTCCCCTCAGCCTCCTCTTCTCCAGGATGAACACCCCCAGCTCCCCCAGCTGCTCCCCATCAGCCTTGGTCTCCAGACAGCTCCTTTGCTTTTCCTGGCAAAGGCACCAGCCCTTTGTTCGCTTTCCAAGCTATGCACCACGTGGCTGCATTAGGGCAAGCGTGACCCAGCCTAGTCTGCCTTGGAGCTGGCCACAAGGGACAGAGTAACGTCTCCAAGGTGGCTTAGAACGTGCTGTGCAGGTGGCCGCTTCTCTGGGGTTAAGTACTCGCATGGCTTTGTGGAACTGTCGCCTTGCAGCCAATGTTCAGACTTTCTCCTTCCAACCCAGTTGTAGAAAAGGTCCCCACAAGCAGAAAACTAATGTTGCGGGAAAGCAGTGCAACTAGAGGAAAGCACAAGCAGCCAATGCAAACGAGAAGGTATCCTAAACTACTATTAGTAAGTGATTAAAAAAAAAACCTGCATGTTTAGGACATGGCTTTTTCTTTTAAGTTGCTTGTGACTTTAATAAACAAGACTAAATGTGACTTTAATGAACAGGACTAAACTGATGACAGTACCAGTTCATTCTATTTCCCTTCTTGTTTTTGACCAGCGCAAATAACTTTGCCATGAAGGGGAAGAGGAAAACGCTGAACGCTGGCGATGTTCTCTCTGCCATGGAGGAAATGGAGTTTCAGCGATTTGTAGCCCCTTTGAAAGAATCACTGGAAGGTAATGTCCTCAGCTCATGTTGGGGGAGTCTAAGCAGCACCAAGTCCTGTTTTCCTCAAACACTGGACAAGCAACGCTTACTTGCCTGTCTTGTTTCTCTTCTCTTTGCCCAGCATCCTACACTGCAGTTTGCCTGGGGAGTAAATAATGTGCACCTTAACAGGACTGGGATAACATTATTTCACAACTGATGAGGATTGGGAAAGTCTCATCTGCTCTCACTCCCCTATTATGTTTACCTAAGGAAAGTCTTAGGTGCTGCCTGTAAATGTGAACTCCTGCGTCCTTTTCAGCAATTTTCTGCTGAAACTTAAGGTGATTTCCTATGGAGCTGGTCAGCACAGCTCAGATAATGGGGTGAGTTGCTGCTCTGAGTTCACTGCTCCCCTTGTAAGCCCGGAGAGCAAGTGGACATTGGACTTGAGCTACTGCACCATTCATGCCATGGAAACGCCGGCTTGCAATTTTTCAGTGTTCTCTCTTTTTTTTTTTTAGTTTACAGGCGTGAACAGAAAGGAAAGAAAGAAGCAAGGAAAGATAAAGACAAGAAGGCAGACTCAGAGGAGCAAGATAAGAGCCGAGAGGAAGAGAATGATGACGATGATGAAAGGATGGAGGAAGAAGAGCAAAATGATGAGGAAGAGGTGGACAACTGAGCTTGCTCATGAGACGTGTGCAGGGGCTGGGTTTTGTTCAGAGAGATATAAATGCTGTAAATCAATCTTGCTGTGTGCCCTCTTGTTTCCAGTAGAGCTTCGTATTGTTCCTCTGGGGCCCGTCCCTTTTTGGCTTTAACTTTTACTTAAAGGACTTCTGTAAAGCTTTTCTCGTGGAAGGACCACTCCTCCCCGGGTTCTGAAGAGAGCAGCGGGACTGGGCTTTTTATGCTGGGTTGGCTCTGAAATAGAGGGGAAAAGGAATGTCGGATGTGCAGTACAGAAGCTGGCCAGGAGAACTTGAGAGACCCTTGAATAAGCTCGTTAAACCAAGTCAGGGGCTGAATCAAATAGATCATTAATCCTTTGGGGTTTGGAATCTACACGATGATGTCCGGAGCCTTGGAAGCTGAGCATTTGAGCTTTTTATCCAAGTGACTTGGTTTTTTCCTTCGTTTTCTTGCATTCTGGCTGTGCCTTCTCTTCCTGCTGTAACTGTGACAGCCATACTGTGTCCTTTGACCTTCCCAGTCGTCTACAGCGATACAGTACGACTGTACAAGGACCAGTGGTCCCTTTGGCTGACTTTCTGCCCCAAATCAACCTAAATCACAAAACTCCAGAGCACTTAGGATGTAAACCAAATAACAAAAGTGCTTGGTTCGTGTCTTTGAAGCCCCAGGAGAGCAAGAGGACTTCTATTAAAAATCTGAAGCAAAATTAATGGCTGAAATGGGTATTAGGATGACAAAAGGTGGCTGTATCAAGTGCTGCGTTTGTTGCAGGGCAGCAGTAGGCACCAGTGGATCGGAGGCTCTCGCCTTCTTTCCCTCCTTTGCAGAGCTGCAGCTCCTGCAGACAGGTTGGTGATTGCAAGCAAGTCTAAATACGGTAGAATCGAGTGCTGGATTTTGGTGGGTTGGGGTTTTTTTCCTGACTGGAATGGACTAATGACATCAGAAGTCCCTCTTTAGCCTTCGGCAGTCATCCCAGAGACACAGGCTGCTGCCCAGTGCCATGGGCTCCTGGAGGGAGGCGAGGTTGGGACGCTCCTACCTAGGAACGTTAGCCTCTGGCTTTTAAAATCTCTCCTTCAGGAAAGATGGGTTGAAACAAGATGTTTGTGTTCCTCATGCTCCGATAGGTTTGTTCTTCTACACTTTCTTAGTTTTGATGCCTTTCTTTTCTCTTCTCTGAGAAAGTATCTATTGGAGTAAGCTCCTTTTGGGGGGAAAAACAGCTTT